CTTATGAGGATCGCAGTGCCACCATTTGCTTTAGCATTGGGATGCATTGTGTGATAAAGTTCGTAATTTGGAATTTTAAAGAAACTACGGGTTTCTGATACGAGCGTTATGTCGACCTGGTTTATTTTTAAGAATTCTTTTATTTCGACAGAATATTTTGATAGACCCTTTGCATTCCACATAACTACGATTAAATCAAGAATTTTGTTTATTTGTCAAGTTGATCAGTTAATTGGTCATTACTACGATTTTTTGCATCATTTGCTTCAACAGCGTTGTCATCTCGCGGAATTCTTCCACAAAATTAATTGATATTGGTGAAAGCTTCTCCTCTGTTGCGCTATTGGTGTCTGACTTCACTATTTGTGCGAATGTTTGTGATGGATGAGAATTCTTAATGTAATTTTTGGTTAGAGAAGGCAGAGGATTTTCTTGAATTTTAAGTTCCGGTGCCTTAGGCTTTAATTGGGGACACATTTTTTTTTTGCATGTTTTTGTAGATTTGACATCGTTTGTAGTGGGCCGGATGAATTCCCTCACATAAAATACATTTGACATCATCGGATCTGCTTTTCCTTTCACAATTTACAGAAGCATGGTTTCCAGCGCACTTGATACACTTGCGTGACAGTGTCCTTTCATGTGCCCATACTGCTGGCAGTTTGCTCATTGAGAGATTTCACGTTTCGGGTGAGGGTAAGGTACTTTTAAGTTGCATTGATTAGGCGCATGTTCGTTTAATAGATCTATTAGAGGCTTGATGCAATGTACCTTATCAATAAATATTGGTGGAGGTTTCAGTACTTTTGAAGGAGTATCATTATTTTTTAACGATTCTTCATTTATTTCATTCTCATCTGCCTGTAGTTCTTCGTAACGATTTAGTTTGACAAGTCCATTCAGCCAGTATGAATCTAGCTTGGTTTGTTTTTGGCTTGTTTGGTTTTTACTTGGACTATCACGTTGACGTTTACGATTATTAACTACTTTCCAAGTGTCGTTAACAGAGGTAGCGTTTCTGCTGAATACAGCTTGATTTGATCCTTTGTCCTGGAGGAGGTTATTTTTTCTTCATTATACAATTTTTGAAGCTGTTGAAGTTGTTGAATTTGTTGTTGTATATTTTTTACCTGTACTAATTTAGCTGTTTTCTCTTTTAGATGACCCAAAGTCGCATTGCTTGGTGCCTGTCGTGTGTTTGTGTTAGTTTCTTTTAATATTGTTGCGTGTTGTTTCGTTTTTATTATTGATTAATTTCATTTTATTAGCGATGGCAATTTCACTAGCTATTTTTGTTATACTTGTTTCAATTTTTGATTTTTCTAAAGGTTTAGTTGAAGAATTATCTGTTATTTTAGTGTCATCTATGTTTAGTGTTATATAGCCATTTAGGCCATTTTCACTTATTAGAGAGTGCCCACGTAAAACGCTTTCGCAATCGCTCATACAGTAGATTTACAATATAATTACAGTTGGTTTATTTTATTATTTTTTTAATTATTTAAAATTTCACATTTATAAATAAATAAATTTATTATTGTTTAAATTCAATATTTTTTTTTACTTAATATTTATTAAATGTTTTGATTGTGCTTTCGCGTATTTATTAATTTAGTTATATAGCATTAGTTATTTATTTAGCTATATAATTACACAATTACACGATTTTGTTAGTTACAATTGGTTTAATTTTTTGACTGATTCCAACACTTTTTATTTTAAGTTTTAGAGCTTTTATTTGCCGTCTTTATCAGCTGTTTTTAAATGTGTGTGAATTTGAAACCAATAAACAAATTCAAAAACAAAACAATTCTGCAAAGCCAAAACTCACTTTTTTTTACATAAAAACAATATAATTATATTAAAATATTTTTATTGACGTTAAGGCGTGCACTATTATTTTTATAAATTTTGTAAAGAGTCACTGTATCGATTATTTGTGATAAGTTTATATTACTTTCTGCTTTATAAACTTGCAAGAAAAAACATTAAAATACGCGGTGATATTTTTTGCGCGCGCACCTTAACGTTCAACACTTCTTAATTATAAATAAATAACACAGGATATTGTATACAACGGTCAAAAAACGTTTTCAAACAAAACGAAACATAAAAATGAAAAACAAATAATGCGATTTTCAACGATTGTGTTCTGCTTCAGTGGAATATGTACAAAAATGTGCGTTGTGTAAATAATTTTGAATAGGAGTGTATAGCAGAATTTATTTAATCTGTCATTGATTTATTGCAATTAACAGAAGTATAACAATTTTTTAAAATATGGGTTCAGCTGATCATTTTAATTAAATGCAATCAACGAATTTTCTTAATTTCATTTAATGTTCAAACCAATTACGGTATATATATATGTATATTATATATTTGGAACAAACCAGAACAATTGTTCCAGATTTTAGAAGAAATTATTTGTTTTCTATTTCATGGCAACTCTTAGCGTAAAAATAAATACAATTCTGCATGTAAGGCAATAAAACTCGCATTGCAATAAATATGCAAGAACGATTGGAGGATGGGATTTATTGCCATTTGTATTTTAGTTAACGCTATTTATTAGAATAAATGCGATTAATTGCAATTAATGGAGCAGCTTGAACAGTCTAGAAGTAATAAAATTAGTAATTTAGTAAAGTTATTACAATAAAGATTATTTATATTGAACAAATCAGTGTGGTCGGCGAAGTGAATAGAATTATTTTTAAAACTGTTTACGTAAAATAAAGTTTATTACTGTATTAGTAAAGTCTGGAGCAAAATTTAGGCTAAGAAAAACTAAATTGTTTAATACAAAATATAAAAAAAAAATTAACAGTAAAAAAAAATAAGAAAAGAGCATATAAACAATAAAATCCACCCAAACTTGTGACATTTCTGTGCTCTGTGTTATAGCTGATAATAAGATATTTTGCTCACAGGCAAAACTTTGTTTTCAAGTAAAAGTAGAAAATGAAAAACTTAAATGATAAAGTAACAGTATTCCCATAGAAAATTATGAAACCAACAAAAAATTGGTGTTTGAGTCCTAGAAGAATAAAGAAAAAATTGAATACCAAACAAAAAACGACAAGCGGAGAGTTTGCCTAAAATTAATATGGCAAAAACAAGCATTACAAAACCATTAGTTACTTGAGAAAGGACAAACCAATCCCCTTATCAAATGGCAGATTTAGGTATGTATGGTACATCGACGCGGACGTTCGAAACCAAGAATATCTTCCACAGTTGTGCGTAGGAAGTGAGAGATATGTTCTCATTGTCTATTATCATTATCATTGGCATTATCGGTCGCTATTCAGCCCACGGAATGAAAGTACTTCAAATACACTTGAAGCGTGCTTTGTGTCAATTATAAAGTGATCAATCTAGTTTCGTGTTGATTGATCGGAAGATAGCCAGGTTGCCTTATGAATATCTGGTGGTATATACTACCGTATTTCGCGCCACAGCGAAAACAATTAGCCTGACCGTTATTGGAGGTTGATTCATGAAGGCTGAATTTTTCGACATTTGAACTAAAAATTTCTTCTCTTCCGATCTTTGCGTAAAAATCCACGAGTACTACTTTAACGTTGTGGGCGGGACTGCAATCATATCATAGAAGGTATCTTTATTCAAGTCGTTCTTTTCTTTTGTAGGCGCGTGAGCACAAATTGGAGTGATGTTGAAAAGTTTTCCCTTGATACGGATTGTAGCAAACCGTACGTTCACCGGTGTGGATCGCTGGACTGATTTTAACAATCTTGCTAACTACAAAACCGAATTCAAATCCACGCCTATTTGCATGGTAGCTGTAGTAGATATTACAGTTTGCTCGTTTATAGCAGCCTTGTCCTGTCTATCACATTTCCTGGATAGCGGTAACATAAGCCTTACATTTGTTAAGGGCTTCCCCCATTTGGATTGGACCTTTCCTATAGAGGATTCGGATATTCCAGGTGCTTTTTTACGTTCTGCGTTGGCGGCTGATTTTACGTAACGGGTGCCGAACCCTGTGGACAACCCATATTTAAAGTCCTGGAAATTGGATCCACTGCAAGCACTATTAGTTCATTACCCAGCAAGTGCCAGGTAACTATCCAGCGGTGCCACGTAAGGGCTGTGCGAGAACTTGGATTTAGGACGCCAAAGATTATGCAGGCATTTTCCATGTTAAATGTAATCAGACACGTTGCCTTCGGTACTGTAACGACCTTTCCGGTCCTCTCTCTACAGCTGGGGTATAACTCAACGAGTATACCTGAGTTCGTTATAAGAAATTTATAAAAAAAATAAACACTTCTGTCTTGTGTTTTATAGTAGAGTCTATTATTCGTCTTAAATTGAAGTTATAAATAGCAATAGAGTAATGTCAAAGGCATAAGCGTTGTATACGTTGCAATCGTTGCGAGCGTATGAATCGTTGAAACCGTTGTAGTATTATAATCGTTAGAAGCAAAGATTCCTTCCCGATGTTACGCCTGACCACGCTCGTCAGCAATCGCTAAACGCTCGTAAACTTGCACGTATTCTAACAGTGTCTGTGACTCGTCATCTTTTCCTCCATCAGCTATGGCCAAATGGAAGACTGAATTACTGGTGAAATTACCCTATACCAGCATAAGCCAAGCAGAAGGTAATTCGACCACCATCACTTCACCCAAACCAGTTCACCCATTCACATGGTGATCGTCAGCAAAGGCCAAACGAACCATCATATACCTAGACCAACTAGTCCGATATTTTTCAAGTAAACAAAGTCCCGTAAATTCGTCAAAACAAATTTCTTATTGTTGTACGAATTGCAATCAAATTCAAAAAAATGCTTGCACAATAATTTCTTAAATTTGTTTATGCAGATAAACAAAAGAAATAGTTACAACAAATTTAACCACTTTTTACCAGTGACAAAAACTAATAAAAACATGATTAAATTAAATTTAATAACTAAAAATATGATATTTCTAAAACTAAAACTAACATAAAATAAAATTTTTTATTTTTAGCGTCGACAAGATGAATTAGATCGAAAAGCAGCAGAACTTGATAGACGCGAACAACAATTGCAGGGTTTAAATATACCACAATTAAACAATTGGCCTCCTCTTCCCGACAATTTTTGTGTTAAACCGTGCTTTTATCAAGATTTTAATGTGGATATCCCACCAGAATTTCAAAAATTAGTAAAACATCTGTACTATACATGGATGTGTAAGTTTTATAAAGAATAACTTTAAAAATAAAGTTTAATTATAGTTTAATTATATAATAATACTATCTCACTCTTTAATAGTTTATACTTTAACTATGTGTTGCAATATCATTGGTGGCTTGATTATTCTTTTACACAGCGGAAGTTTTACCAATTTTGGCTTGGCTATTTTTTATACAGTACTTTTTACGCCCGCATCTTACGTATGTTGGTAAAGTGTTTAATTAATTATATTATATGAATATATTTACTAATTGTCTTTCTATTTAGGTTTAGACCAGCATATAAAGCTTTCCGAAATGATTCTAGTTTTAATTTCATGGTATTTTTCTTCGTGTATTTTTTTCAAACAATATTTTCAGTATTTCAAACGATTGGCTTACCGGGCACAGGTTGGTGTGGTTTTATTGTAGCTGTTTCACAATTTAATTCAACTGCAGCAGGAATAATTGTTGGTTTACTGTTACTTTGTATTGCCTTCTGTTTTGGGTTAACTACTGTTGCAAACATTATGATGATAACTAAGGTAAGAGCTTTCAGTTTGTTATCCACAATTTGTTTTTTAAGATTAGTATACATTTAAAGATTCACACGATTTATCGAAGCACTGGCGCGAGCATAGATAAAGCCAAGGCCGAATTTACTACAGAGTTTATGCGTAATCAGCATGTTCAACAAGCCACTTCTTCGGCTGTAAATAATGCCATAAATTCTCAACTCAACAACAGCAGATATTAGATATATAAAATAAATATTTGCCATTTGCAAAAAGGATATGTATTCTCTCTAAAGAGTTTAGATATATTTTTTTTAAATAAAGTTCATTTAGTTAGTTATTTTGTTATACAATATTATTTAATTAGACTTGCAGATCAATACATGTTTATAGCTTACTTATGTATACAAAAATTCATTTTATACTTATTATATGCCTTTTATAGTACACATAATATACATATTGATTTTCATTATAAATGTTTCTTCTATTGTATTTAATACCAAATTTTTGTTTTATTTAATGTGCTCTATGTCAGCAATTATTACACATACGTATATTTTATATATAGTCACTACACATAAATAGTAAATAAATATGTTCCATATCTACACCAAAAACATATATTCACATATATCTATTTTTGTGTCTGTTAAAATATATTAGATACATATTAGACTAAGTGTATATTTGATTTTTTATAAGGTATCTGAACTGATTTGCTCGAGCTAACAGGTATTAAATGGTATTAGGTATTAATAGGTATTAAATTGTATATTATATTACCTATTAATAATAGGTATTAAATGTTTCTATAAAGTAATTGCTAGCGATAGCTGTGGCATAAGTATTATAAAAACCACATTTTCAGCAAAACCCATTTTTCTGAACCCAAAAAGTTGTTAACGAGCATATCGTTTTACTACTTGTGTTAAAGTTTCCGAGAAAGTATAATATAAATTAAAGTTATGAAATATTGAGGTTAATGGCAATAGAGTGAAAATTGTTTTAAAAATAAATTATTTAGATTAAACAGCAGTAATTTCCGTCTAATAATCTTATTGGAATAACACAGAGTTCGGTTGGTATTATTATTCAATAAAGTTGCTGTCTTACACAGACTAAAATAGCATAATCACTTTAAATGCCGAAATTTGGCTAATGTCCTTTTTTTCGTTTACTAAACAAATATGTTAGATAATTTAAGCTCTTATAAAAAATTTCTTATTTATTAAAGTAATGAAAATTACCTTAAACCAATGTTTGCAAATGGTGGTAATATAATCGTTTGCGAGGATATGTTACAATATGTTGTCCTTATTTTAAAACCAAAGATGATTAGTGAGCAAATTAAGTAAGTAATACTTAATTTGGTTGAAATAGAACATGATAGCAACAATTTAAGTTTTTTTTTAAATTGAAAACAAATTGAAGTATTTATTATTGTTGGTGTAACGCATTAAAATAAAATAAAAATATTAATAAGACGATTTATCCAAATACAAAGAAAAACTTACTCTACAAATGTATTTTATCATTTATCGAAAAAAAAAAAATTTAAAGTTAATGCATAAATGAAATAATGATTTAAATAAATAAATTGAACAAAAACTTAAATAAAACTTAATTATAACATAGTAGAGATAAGTACATTTCTTAATGATCTTAGGGGAGTATTAGATCGTTACCTGTTGAATGTTTTCATTTTTTATATTACATTTCTATTTAAAGTAGTTAAAATAACGCGCGTGTGTGTGCTGCTCATTTTTTATTGTCAATATGCAACCCAATGTTGACTTTCGTCAACCTTGCACATTACATACAGTAATCTTAATATATAAAAAAAAAAAACAACTTTAATTTGATATAGTTCTTTAGCTTCAAGTTCCGAATGAGCAGCACGCGTGTTTAAACGTAAATTAAATTTCTTAGTGATTCTCAAAATCACAACTCTTTTTCTTTTTTTAATAAACTATAAAAAAATAAATACAAAAACGCTTGTGTTTCTTCATTACCCTTATGCAATTCTTACAATAGGTAGTTTAAAAATATAAGAAAACGTAAAAAATCTCCGCAAGAAATCTAAAAGAATCAAAAAAGGTAACAATTAGACAAAAAATCGGTTTGTTGATTGAATGGCAGCAGGTAACTTTCAGCTGACCTCAGCGGTTTTTACTTCCACATTCCTTATAAGAAATCTTGAGATATAAAAAGTCAATAACTAAATCTATTTCGTCGAATTTAATAGATCTTTCAGCCTTACCGATGAATAAGCTGTCAAAAAGCTAAAAGCTATTTTTTCTGGAAGTCAAAGTCTGATACAGAGAAAATGCTTAATAGTTTTTATCCTATAAGTTTCCATTGCTTCAATGAGTACTAAAAGAAATGCGTAGTTACTCTGCGTGGGTTCCTATACACCATTGATAAAATAGAATTGCAGTACGCCTTGCAAAATTGAGTTCCCAAGACCTAGTATTGTTATATGAGGGCCATTTTTACCTGGAAGTTAAACGCAACCTAAGTGTCTTCCATTTGTTAACGGCCAGGTAAAGAAAGTAGAGATAAGTACTTTTCTTAACGATCTCTGGGGGAGTATTAGATCGTAACCCTTAGGAATACATCTATGGCAGCACCAAAGCGAGCCAAACTGTTTTTCATTCCGTTACAATATTCTTATGTGCAGTAGCTCATGACAATGATGTCAGCGACTTGGTTTAGTGCACCAATTATCACTATGAATTCTATAACTAGATTTGATTTTATGATAAAGAAATGAAGGGATTTAATTGCCGCTTGACTGTCAATAAAAATAGCAACACCACATATGTCCTTAATGTGATTTACAATTTAGCCGACATGACACTCCGATCGCTAAAATTGTCTGATATGTTAAAATATATTTTATATCTCCAAATAGCGCCAAAATTCCTGTTCCTACTCTGCAGTTCATTTTCAAGTCATCTCTATGAATTGATAAGTCGTGGTTTACTTGAAAATTTGTTCCTTTCCATTAGTTTTTTGACAGATATATTGTCTAAAAATTTCTTTCAAAATATAATTATGGATTCAGATAATCCGATGTCATTCTATTCAGACAGTTAGTGACTGTGTCTAGAATCCGGCTGTGTCTGTATGTACGGTTTGTCGAGATGCCTGTCACTTTCAGTATGACAGCGCTATTGCAAATGATATTTTTAATATGTAGATCAATGGTTAGCAAATACATGTATTAGATACAGCGTTCGAAAGGACCATCCTAAACGCTTTTGTAACGCCAACATATGTTGTCTTCTGAATTCGATTGAGTTTTTGAATGTTATAGCTCTTGTTCAGAGCTGACCACCAAACTACACCATCATACATGAGTATTCGATGCACAATGTTCGATTACGTCCAATCTGTAATATTGAGACAAACCCACATTTTTTGCCGAACATACTTTTGCAAAAATAGAAAGCTACACGAACCTTTTTAACCCGTACCGTAACATTGTATTTTCAATTTTGCTTGCTTTCTAGCAAAGCACCTACTGGCTTTTTTCGACAGTTTTAATGTTGTCTATTTAATGAAGATGTTTCGAAAATGATATTTTTTATCACTTTGTAATTATTCATTTATATATTGTTTCGAAATGATAATATTTTATATAAATGTACATTCTTATTTATTTTACAAAATTTGAAAGTTTCCGAAAGAGTGAACCAAAAAAAGACAAACACGTGCGTCTTCGCCAACGATCAACCGGTAAGAGGGAGTTGCAAATTTTGATGCAAAGCAAAAAAGGCAATAAAAGCAAGAACAAAGATTTAATAAAGCAAAAAAATGAAATGCAAAACACCTTTCGAACAAACAGTGTTGCAGTGTAAAACAATGTTAAAAATAAAATGAATTGAATTTAATTACTACTACTCTAAACACCCTCCCCCGGTTGAAAGGCTCAGACTTTAAACATATTTATCGTCTATTGGAAGAATTGCCACCTTCCTTACTGCACGTTTGATAATTCCTATATTCGTGCGTATTTCCGCCACTCGAGCCACATTGTCAGATCCGCATATTATGCTGGTGATGCGGCCTAATGCCATTTAAGAGGTGGAAGATTGTCTTCATGTACTAGTACTATATCTCCAACACGAACATTTGCTGCAGGTGAGCGCCATTTGATACGCTCTTGCAATAGCGTGAGGTAGTTGACACTCCACTTTTTCCAAAATATTTGTAGCATATAATTAACTCGTTGCCATCTGTCTAAGCGAGAGAAGTCAGTAGTAGTAAGGTTGGGCTCAGATACTGATGTTACCAGACCACCCACCAAAAAATGAGCTGGTGTGGGAACTTCTAGATCTCCCATTATATATTCGACATGTTTTTGCTTAAGTCGAAAACAACAAACACATTTGTTGATAGCGCGTGTTATAGTTTTTCGACCACCAATAGGCCAATGTTGCAAACGAATTGTGGCGAGCAGACTTTGTGGCCCAGCGTGCAAATTCTTCTGATGAAAATAGGTTATCATTGCATTTGTGATAACATGAGCTTTTGGAAGTATCATTGGATGGCAAGCTTCGAAACTTAGTAATGAATTTTTTAGTCGACCACCTACACGAATTACTCCAAATGAATCAATAAAAAGATTGAGGGAGTAAAGTTTACTTGAACTAGTAACATTTTCTCCTTTTTTTAGTATTTTGTATTCAGCAGCGAAATGAGTTTGTTGTATGTTTGAAACCATTAATTTTGTACCCCTTTCAATATCGTGAGGATCAAGTTGGCCAGTTTTCCTTATGGTCTCTTTATGTTTGAGTGACACGAATCGATAAATATATGCGAAAACTAACTGCATTTTATTAAATGAGTTAGCGAATTTACAGGATAGCGTTAAATCTTGCTGACATGTAGTTATTAGAACTCTCCTGCGTCGTTCAGGTAATTCTGCTACGCAGACAGTATTTTGGGGCCAATGTAAATGCGATGTTCTTAAAAATTCAGGTCCTTGTGTCCAAAGTGTTGAGGCTAAAAGTTCATCTGGCGCTGCTCCTCTTGATAAGATATCTGCAGGATTCATAGAAGTTGGTACATGATGCCAATTCATGCCACAGGTAAAAGTTGAATTTTGCTAATTCTGTTGGAGACAAAAACGATAAAATTGGATGGTTATTCACGTATCCAAGATAATACCACCATTGAGTCTGACCAGCAATGAAAATCGCATGTAAAATTTATAGTTTTGACGACCATATCAATGAGTTCCGATAAAAGTAGAGCAGCTGAAAGTTCTAGCTTGGGAACTGTAAGTGTCTTTAGTGGTGCAACCTTTGATTTGGAGCATAGTAGATGCAAATCAAATGCACCCGAGCGCTCACACCTGATATATATACATGCACCATAAGCGTTCAGACTGGCATCACAGAAACCATGTATCTGCACTTTAGAATTAGGCATTAAAACATAACGAGGGAATTTAAAACTGCTGATAATAGTAAATTGAGAGCGAAGTTCAATCCATGCTGAGTATAATGCTTGTGGTAGACTCTCATCCCAATGCAATTTGTGTTTCCATAAGGTTTGCATGAAAATTTTAGCCTTGGTGATGATAGGTCCAATTAATCCGATTAGATCAAAAAAACTGGCTATAGTTGAGAGAACAGTACGTTTGTTGATTTGCTGACTACTTACCACTGGAGTAAATGAAAATAAAAAATTTTCGTGGTTTGGATCCCATACTAAACCTAATGCTTTAGTGATATCAGAACCATCTTTAAATTTCAATAATTGTACATGTTCGGAGTCAGCGATACCACACAATACTCTTGGATTATTGGAACACCATTTTCTGATCTGGAAACCACCCTTTTTTAATAATTCAGTAGTTTGCCTTCTAATGTTGATTACTTCATCCACGGTGTCGCCGCCTGACATTAAATCATCTACATAAAAATCTCTGAGAACGATTTTAGAACCCAATGGGTATGATTTCTCTTCATCGCGAGCCAGCTGATGCATTGCTCGAATAGCTAAAAATGCAGCTAGCCTTGTTCCATATGTCACAGTGTCCAATTTGATTACCTTTACGTCATCATCGAGATTACTTCTCCACAAAATGCACTGAAGATATTCATCGGGATGTGTAACACGCATGCATCGATACATTTTACAGATATCTCCACAAAGAGCAATTTTAAAATATCGGAATCGAATAATTAATTCAAAGAGTGTGGATTGAATTGTAGGTCCAGACATCAGCAGATCATTAAGAGAAAATCCGGTGGATGTTTTAGCTGACCCATCGAAAACCACACGTAATTTTGTAGTTGTACTTTCATTTTTTAGCACACAATGATGAGGTAAAAAACACGTTGGAACACCTGATGGTAATTGTGCTGGTGACATGTGCTTTAAATTTATTTACTCATTAATAAAATCAACATTAATTAAATCAGCATTACGTTGCAACTTTCTTTCTAAACTGTGAAATCGTTGAAGTGCATGATTATAAGAATCTCCGAGTGAGTCGATATTACGGTGCTTAGGAAGCAAAACGGAATATTTACCAGAATCTAACCGAGTAAAATTTTGTTTGAAATGGGTTTCGCAATATGCGTCTTCCTCTGTTACCGAAGAGTGCGCGTCAAAACAATTTTCTATTTCCCAAAACCTTTTTACAATTTCATTTAACGATTTTTCATTTTCAAATTCCAATTCAGTGGTTAATTTCGTAGCTATGGCTAACGAAAATGAGTGATTGTATTTTGGAATAATACCGCCACCTGATGCTATCCAACCCAGCCTTGTCTTCTGCAGCATAAAATTATTTTCCAGACAAATTTGTCCAATACACAATAAGTTAAAAAATAAGCCGCCACCTAGAAACACATCGATTCTCTGTGATTTGAAAAACATCGGATCGGCTAAGGTGATGTTGTTTGGAATTGACCAGTCTGAAATGTTTACGTTAAAGTTTGGTTGAGGATCTGTGATAGTTGTTGTAACGATCGCAGTGCATGAAGTTGAATAATCGCCTGAGTGTGATTTTGTAAATAGCTCAACAACCTTGTTTGTTTCAAGTGTAGAATCCCCTATGCCTGATATGGTTGTGTATGTTGTTTTCGTATTTAGCTGCAGCAATTTGACTAAACGAGAAGTTATAAAGTTGAGTTGAGACGCAGAATCGAGAATTGCTCTACATGGAACGAAAGATCCTGAGGAATTTTTGATGAGAATGATTGCAGTAGCTAGTAGCACACTATTTTCAGATGGAAATTCTGGGGCTTTAGGAATAGAGGTTAAAGAGGACAGTGAGAGCAGCGACGTATTTTTTAAAATTGATGGCTCTTCCGACCGATTTGCTATATGTATTTCAGGTGCAACGCCTTTCGAATTAATTGGAGATACAGATTGCATATGAAGCAATGAATGATGCTTTGAAGCACAATGACGACAGTGTCCAGACTTGCATTTATTCAATGCGTGACCCTTGCGTAAGCAATTTAAACATAACAGCAACTTCTTTGCTTCTTTATATCGAAGCGTTGGGAAAAGATTTGTAAACAGTGTGCACTTTGTAATATAGTGATCCTTTGAGTCGCAAAATACGCAAGAGATAGTACCCATATTTGCTGCCAAATAACTATATTTTTTAGTAATTTTCTTTCCTACCTGGTGGCTAGATGTTAGGGAGACCATAGCACCGTCCATATTCTCCAATACACGACACCTTTTTTCTAAAAAGTCAGTCATCATTTCCCACGTTGGCAAATCATGGACGGACAACTCTTCTTCCCATTTAGCCTTTGATTTAGAATCGAGCTTGGCACTGATGATTTGGATCAAGAAATTGTCTGCGATTTGTTCTTTGGTGCCTAATGTTTGTAAAGCACGCATGTGCAAATTGATTCGATCACTAAGCTCTCTTAACTTTGTCGATGATTCATTCGATATATCCCTTGCCCACAAAATTTCTTTGACGTGTGCCTGTAAAATTAAAGGTTTATTATCAAATCTCTTTTTAAGTAATTCTAAAGCCTTAGCATAGTTTGCATCACTTAAACTCAACGATCTAATGATGTCAAATGCTGCGCCCTTTACGCTTGAAAATAAATGTTGTAGTTTTTCTGTTTCAGATAGTTCTTGGTTATTGTGAACTAAGTTTTCAAATATGGCATGAAAACTAGGCCACTCAGTATAATTTCCATCAAACTTTGGTATTTGTAATTCTGGAAGCCTAATTGTATGCGCCATTGACTTGATGTCTTGCTGATTCTCACCTGACGATTTATGTATTGTTGTAGATCAACTTGGATTGAATGTACGTCTTACTTGAAGCTCATGTTGAAGTTTTGATCGAACTTTCAAGTACATCATATCGAAATCAAACCGGACCATCCCATCAAATTCGGATATGTCCAATTCCTCAAGAGTAGATTGAGTATTTTCAAATTTATTGGCCAGACGCTCCACATGCTCCAGCCGAACAGAAGTATCGGAATCACACAAACTGCTTAAATATTCAGGAGTCAGAGTCTCATTGAATGTCAGAGTTAATTGAAACTTTATTGAAGTGGATCTTGATTTTAAGAGAATTTGTGAAGGCTCACTTGAGTGCTCTGTTGCCCCATTTACTTCAACTTCGTCTGTCATGATCAATAATTTAACTCGTGTAAATTTCAAATGTAGCGTGTTCGTATTATGAATTAGTTGCACTATTGCACCGAAAATTGCGTTTTGTATTTGGCCGAATTGACAAATATAAATCTTAAACACGACACTGACTAAAATTTATTTTACGACACGATAGCATAAAATAATATTTGTTCATATACCGATCCAAAATAAAGAAATGCACTATAGCACAAATTGTTTATATATGTCCGATCTGCCGAACTTTAAACTGAAATTAATTGAACATATTTTATGACACGATAGCATAAAATAAAATTTGCACATAAATACAGCGAAAATAAAAAAAGAAAGAATGCACAATAGCAATCAAAATGTATGTTAAACTTGTCCGAGTTGACAAACTTCATCGAAAAATATTTCCAAAATTAAAATGCATGTGCATTATAAATCTTTTGTACGAAATTAAATCCGAGTATATTTTTTCAATCCGATCACGTCGGGGTCACCAATGTTTCGAAAATGATAATATTTTTTATCACTTTGTAATTATTCATTTATATATTGTTTCGAAATGATAATCTTATATATAAAATTAACATTGTCAAAATGTTAGTTACCGTACTCCTCTGAAACGGTTTTATCGATTTTTACCGAATTTTATATGCGTATTCAGTAGGTCTGAGAATCGGCTACTATCTATTTTTCATACCGCTAAAGTGATTAGGGAGTCCCTATCCAGCAAAAATATCCTTATTGCTTTAACAAAAAAATTTTTATTTTTTTGACATAAATTTTGTTTATATTTTTGAAAAAGAAAAATTTTTTTCTTAATATTTTATGTAACTACGCCAACAAGTACATCGAGCATTTACATCCACTTCGTTTCTTCGTCTTCGCCTTGCATGGCAGATGGAAAATGTACTAAAAATTTTTCTAAAGATTTCACTAATGATACTATAACAAATACCGACGGATATCCAATATATCGTCGAAGAAATCCCGATAATGGGGGACAATGGCGGGTGGTGCCGTATTCGCCTCTGCGAAGCAAGACATACAATGCTCATATTAATGTTGAGTTTTGCAGTTCTGTGAAGAGCATCAAATATATAAGTATGTCCATAAAGGCAGTGATATGCCTGTGTTTAGAGTAGAAAATACTAATGTAAATGCTACTCCAATGAACAAAAACGGTGAAATTACGCTCTACCAAAAGGGTCGGTACATCAGCTCCAATGAAGCTGTTTGGCGTATCTTCGGTTTTCTAATTCATGAACGGGATCCAGCAGCTGTTCAGTTAGCCGTCCATCTTGAAAACGGTCAGCGTGTATTTTTCACGAACGAGACAGTGATTGATCGTGGTACAAATCCATCTAAATCTACACTCACTGCATATTTTGAATTGTGTAATAGTACGGATGATTTTGGTGCCTTTGCAAGAACATTACTCTATTCACAAGTACCACGCTATTTCACATGGTCTCAAACAAAAAAATGGATGCCCCGCAAGCAAGTTTCACCAGTTGATGCATGTCTCAATTTATTTAAATCGAACGCTTATTTACAGTTAATCCAAGACATACTGAGTGCTTTTATCTTCGACTGTTGTTGGTTAATGTTACTGGCCCATTATCATTATTATTATTTACAGTCAATCCAAGACAATTTGAATTTGAAGATACTTAAATTCAAATTAATTAATAAATAAACTATAATAACTTAAAAATAATATTGTTTGGCGTTTGTTATTTTTATTTTCCTTTTCGTTCATAGCGCTCCATGCCTATTTCATACATATACCACATACTTACACACTTATAATAAGTAAGTTACTTTTTGTCTACACTAGAATTAATCTAGAAACTAGAAATAATTTATAAGGCAAAACAACGTTTGTCGGGTTATCTAGTATTTTATATAAATGTACATTCTTATTTATTTTACAAAATTTGAAAGTTTACGAAAGAGTGAACCAAAAAAAGACAAACACGTGCGTCTTCGCCAACGATCAACCGGTAAGAGGGAGTTGCAAGTTTTGATGCAAAGCAAAAAAGGCAAAAAAAGCAAGAACAAAGATTTAATAAAGCAAAAAAATGAAATGCAAATCACCTTTCGAACAAACAGTGTTGCAGTGTAAAACAAGGTTAAAAATAAAATGAATTGAATTTAATTACTACTACTCTAAACAGAAGACATACTAAATTTTTGTCGCTATGGCCAGTTTTCTTGGTTTTAGTAGTAAACAATATCATTTCAGTGTTTCCTGAATTAATACTTATCACACAGTTTGCGGCCCAATAACTTATCTTAACCGAGGGAGTTTGCATTATATCGCATATGGTAAATACGTGACACTAGAATAACCACATCATTTGCATACACTCCGGCTTTAAAGCCTATCCTGTTAAGTATTTTAGGAATGTTATCCACGAAACAAACCTCCACTGTTTTGATGTATCTCTGCAGATAGGTAAAAAGTAAGCGTGATGGGATTTCAAAATTGGAAATCGCTTCATTTTTGGTGTTTGGTGGAGTTCCATCACCTTTTCCATTGTCTTGAGTAAGAATGAAGTTAACTAATGGGTCTCTGATCCTTGGCAGACTCTTGACTTCTTTTTCTAACTTGGGTATAAAAACGACGTTTACCATCCTCCAACTAAATGGTACATTACTAAATCTAAAGCACGCTTTAGATAAATATTCTAACCATACAAATACTATGTCCTGCAGTTTTTACAATATGATTGGGAGAATACCACGATTGGCACGACGGGAAACTGTTAATAATACTTGATCTCTTTCCGCGATTGTTACGATGGGAAACTGTTAATAATACTTGATCCTTTTTAGCTGTAACTATCACTTCATCCAATTGTGTATACGCACATACCAAAACAGTTTAACTGCCTTTTCATACATTCTTTTGTCAGTTTGGAAAACGAGTGTCTAAAAGTACTCTTAGTGTCTCAGCACTAATCAGAAAAGCGAAGAGAGCCCTATTTCAATGCAAGAGAGTGTGCGGAAGACGATGGGGGATATCTCCAAAGTCGATGCACTGGATCTATACAATGATGGTCAGACCTATTATAACATATGCGTCAGTTGTCTGGTGGTGTAAAGCCACCCAAAAAACAATAAAAGTGAAGTTAGATAGGGTCTAGAGACTAGCCTGTGTTGGAATAACAGGCGCTATGCGCACTGCACCAACACCGGCGTTAGAGGCGATGCTAGGTTTGCTTCCGTTGGATTTACATATAAAGAAAACGGCGGCACTGGCAGCAATTCGCATGAACCGGAGCTCCACGTGGAACAACTTCGGAAAATTGGTGGGTCATCGGAAAATTCTTGACCTCGTCCAGACCTCGGTCAAGAAAACACAGATGACATTGGAGACTATGAGGAGAGTTTACGGGACAGAAGTGTCCTATAGAACACTGATAGTAGACGGCCTTCTACATAATGAATGTAAAAGGAATGACATATGCATATTTACCGATGGCTCCTTGATGGATGGAAGAGCTGGTGCTGGGGTTTATTCGAAAGAGCTAGGTCTAACGTGCACTCTACATCTGGGAATATATGTCTCCGTGTATCAGGCAGAACTTATGGCAGTCTTACATGCTCTGGATCACCTATTGGATTGTCAGGTGTATCAGAAAAAAATTCTGATAGCGCTGAACAATCAAGCAGTTATCAAAAGCATGCAAAAGACATACATAGCTAACAGCTTAGTTCAAGAATGTGTAACGAAGCTCATGGAATGTGCTCATGGAAATGAGGTGACGGTCATGTGGGTTAAAGGACACATCGGGATTGAGCAAAACGAGAAGGTAGATGAACTTGCAAAGCAAGGATCAAGCCATAATTTCCACTAAGTGGAAATACCACTAAGTTACAACATGACGGCAGCCTATGTCTATAAGTGGATAACCTCACTTCATCTTAATAAATGGAAAGAGTTGAGCACTTGCAGACAGACCAAACTCATGTTGCCGAAACCGTGGGCCAGGGAAGCGATAAAAGTGCTTAGCTATTCACGGAGCACTCTAAGCTGGCTGACCTCACTAATTAATGGACATGACAACTTCAAGTATTACCTCAAAAAGATAACTATTGCTGAGGAAGACACTTGCAGACTACGTCTAGAAGAAAAGGAAACAGCGGTGCATATATTATGCCAATGCCCAGTACTGGCAAGTAGGAGGAAGACTGTCTTGGGACACCATTAGGTTGGTGATGACTTGGCAGGAAACCTCAAGCTAAATGAGCTGCTTGCATTAACAAAAGATGTAGCTATGAGAACGGAAGCCACCCCAGCTTTAACTCAATAACAACATCAGAAAATCGAAGGACGAAAAAGGACCCAAGTAGTTTCGTGGTCTACTTCGACTAATCCTTCACTTTAGTGGGGCCACAGTGCGCTGTCCCAACGTCGCACCATATATATAGTGTCTCAGGAGTAATTTCGGCCCATGAGTTCTCCTTTTTTAAAAGAAAGGATTTTGCGCTTTTCTTTGATAGAACTTTGCTGATATGCAGCATTTTTTCCCATTCAGAAAAACCCTGTAAAAAAGGAAAAAAAAATTTGATCGAATAATTTTATATATGTGTACTGCACA